AATATTCATTACTGGTATTTCTGTAGGATATTATTTCATATATCTATTATCATCATAACTGTAGATCAGTTTGGGTAAATGGATGTAGGATGTGATTATGCATAATTAAAGTTGGAAATACACCTGGTATTCATTTTAAAAACATATGCCCCCCCCCAAAAAAAAAAAAAATTATCCAAATTTACCCAAAATAACCTGTAATTACAAAAACAGGAGTTACAGTACTGTATATACCTGCTTGATGGGGGGTTCTGGAAGTTGTTTTACTTCCCAAGCCCGGCCCGAGGCCAGGCTTGATTTGTGAGAGCTTGGTCCACCAGGCTGTTGCTTGGAGCGGCCCGAGGCCAGGCTTGATTTGTGAGAGCTTGTCCACTAGGTATATATGAAACGTTTTCCTCAAGAAATATTGCAATGATGTAGAGCATGAATAAACTTAATTTTGCTTTCATAAATAATAATTTTATAATAAAATATCTAAAATATAAAATGTAGACTTGCCCAAATTTTCATATACTATACAGTAATTATGTAAATACTGTAATACAGATAAATATTTTTGTACAGTATTATTGGTAATAAATGTTACTTACATTAAGCTTATGCTCAGCAACCCCCCTGCTGAAATAGATTTAATGATATGTGATCTCAGCAGAAGTATTCTCATACTATACCTTAAATTGCTATGTAACAATGTGAAAAAGTAAAAAATTTAAATAATTAAATCATAAATGTTCAAGAAATGGGCAAGTATGTATTTAATTCAAAATGATGTACTACATGAAAGCTTAGTCTACTAACCCAAGTTTGCTTACTGTAGGTCACGCATACACATGCTTATAAGCTTTATACTGCCACCCACCACGTACCCCACTATATCGGATACGTTATCTTGGTGTTTTCGAGGCTTAGCGTCCACATGGCCCGGTCGTCGACCAGGCCCAGTCATTGACCAGGCCTGGTCGATGTGGCAAGCAAATAGAAATCATATATAACTAACTCGTCACGAATGTAAATTTCTTAGCTTAAGAGATTGCCGGGATTCAGTTCTTGGCATCATTATACCTGTATGAGACACTGAGACCTTTGTACCATTCACACAAGTTAGTTTAGTTCATTTATTATGCACCCCATACCCATCTTGTGGGCAGTAGTGGAAAGGGTTACAGAGGCACATAATGGGCTCAGGGACTGAACCCCAACATTCATTTAGCTAATCAAGTTACAGCACAAAAGATGGTAAATTCGACTATACTAGTAATACACTTACCTGGTTGATACCTGGTTGATGGGGTTCTGGGAGTTCTTCTACTCCCCAAGCCCGGCCCGAGGCCAGGCTTGACTTGTGAGAGTTTGGTCCACCATGCTGTTGCTTGGAGCGGCCCGCAGGCCCACATACCCACCACAGCCCGGTTGGTCCGGCACTCCTTGGAGGAATAAATCTAGTTTCCTCTTGAAGATGTCCACGGTTGTTCCGGCAATATTTCTTATGCTTGCTGGGAGGACGTTGTACAGGAGCCCCTCCAACATTAACCCCACCTCTGAAAAGTCACACAAAAAAATGCCAACGATTGATGGTAAACATCCAACATACCAATACAGCCCTCTGTCCTACCCGCACACAGCTAGGAACGCCTAATGGGATATATACAGGAAAATAGTTCTTCACCTCTGATGCAACCCTTTTACTCATCGCAAACTATGAGCTATACTCCAGATTTTAGAGAGTACTTTGCAATAATTAGAGCTCTTTGGAAAGGGGTCAACACCTTTGTTGATAATAACCCTATTGTCAAAACCATTGAATCGCATACCGCTCCCCAATTTATAACCAGTGTCCACTAAGACCGAAACCAAGTAATGCCAAGAGTTCGAAGACTAAACCACCCAACTAAAGACCCATTCCTATAGACCCTAGAGCCCCAACCTCCCAGCCCCATCATACAGGTCTTCTCCCCTATTATCCGCCGCACCAGTGGCCAACTCAAATTCCTGCAGCACATTCTGGACACCACCGAACGTTCCGTAGCCATGACCACCGACGTATCTCCATAAAGTTGGTGATGCAGGAAGGAGTAACGGGGAAGGTCCTCTAGTGAAAAAGGGAGTACTTAAACAACAGGAGACAGCGAGTCACTGCGAGGGGTGAGGTCGTCCCTACTGGAACGTCACTATAGGGTCCTCAGTCCTATTCTGTTTCTGATAAATGTAAACGACCTCCCAGAAGGAATACACTCGTTCCTTTCAATATTTGCTGATGTGAAAATTATAAGGAGGATTAAGACAGGAAGATAACAAGAGGCTACAAGATGACCTGAGCAAACTGATGGAATGATCCAACAAATAGCTACTACAGTTTAACTCCAGTAAATGCTAGGTGGAGGGAACAGGAGGCCAGACACAAGGTACCAAATGAGAGACGAAGTCCTCCATGAAACAGTCAGAGAGAAGGATCTAGGAATTTATATCAGGATGACTCTGTCTCCTTAAGCCCACATAAAAAGGATATCATCAGCAGGGTATGCAAGGCTGGCTAACATCAGAACTGCCTTTAGAAATTTGTGTAAGGAATCATTTAGAACCTTGTGAAAAACATGTCAGACCAATCCTGGATATGCGGCTCCAGTAAGGAGTTCGTACAATGTCAAGCATAAAACAAAGCCAGAGAAGGTTCAAAGGTATGCTACAAGACTAGTTCCAGAACTACAAGGTATGAGTTATGAAGAATAGTCGTGTGAATTGCACCTTAATAAAGGACATTATGAGTGAGGTTGTTGCAATGAACAGTTGACCTGCCAGGAACTCCTCAAAACTGACCGACGGCGATGTCGCTCGTGTGTGATCAGGGTTTCCGTTTCCCATCTTGGTTGTGAGCTATGTTCTTCGCTGTCTTAGCTTGTCTGCATTACGTAGAGTACCAACCCATGTGTTTGGTGGGGTTCTTTTCTTTGTCGTTTGTAGAATTTGTGTGCATCGTGTTTTATCTTTTTGGAGTTATC